GATTTAAAGGCTTCCAATTCCTGAATCATTGGCTTAAGTCTTAAGAGATACGTCATTATTTTCTGATGACAAAAAACAACTGCCTACGCATAATGATCATAACGATACTATACTCTATCTATAATATGCATAATGTGTATATTTTTGTGTTGCCTATATCGACCGATTATATTAAGATGACATACACATTCTCATTTGCCATTTTCTTTAGTAAGTATAATGCTCTTTATTAGAAACAATAACAAGAACAAAATAAGTACAGTGCAGGTATAAACCTAAAACAATCCACTTAGGACATGATTGATAACTAATCTTGATAAATAGTTCAATTTTTTATGCAATCGAATTGCAGACATTCAACATCGCCGGTGCCGTGATCCGTATCTTCAATCTAGTATGTATGATGATTCTCATCAGCCACTGGAACGGCTGTCTGCAGTTTCTGGTTCCAAAGCTTCAAGGTTTTCCTGCCAAATCATGGGTTGCTATCAACAATCTTAAAGTATGTGTTAGCATAATGTGACTTGTTTCCAAGCAAACTTCGGTTTCGAAAAAACAATGAACCATTTAGCTGAACCTCGTCCCTTGATATTGCGGTTAAGATCCCATAAAAGTATGTGCCGGGTTGTGTTCAAGAAAAACACTTTTGGGACATGCGCGTATTTTGCTTAATAAATAACACATTCTGATTTATCTTCTTTTAAGTTTGATTGAAAATCCTGAAAGATCCAATGATCATCCCTTCAACACAGTTTTGCAAAACTCTGGGTTTTAGGCTATGCCTACCGTACTGATGGTAAACATTAATTCTTTCATTCCACAGAACGCTCCGTGGAGTGAACAATATACATGGTCCTTATTCAAAGCAATGTCGCACATGTTGTGCATCGGATATGGCAGGTTTCCTCCTCAAAGTATCTCCGACTTGTGGTTAACGATGATCAGCATGATATCTGGCGCTACGTGCTTTGCTCTGTTCATTGGTCATGCTACAACCATCATTCAATCTATGGATTCATCGAGCCGCATGTACAGAGAAAAGGTAAACTTTATGATAAATGTGATAGTTTCGGGCAACACATTCATCCGGCATTTGTGTAGTGTGTGTATTTTTAGTAATAGGCTTTTCTGTGGAAGGTTCATGAAATTTAAGCGTTAATAATAAAAATGTATTTGATCATACACTGTTATAACAGTAGCACACGTCAAATGGCGGTGCGTTCAAAAGAAACAAAAAAAATCAAATTAGCTAGACAATCCAATTGGATAATTAATACAAGATATTAAGAAATTGATCAAAATTGAATAAGGTAAAAGCAATTAGACACGTAATTTTAAGTAAAGCAACGAGTAGATCAACTTATTAAAGGAAATACCGTATTTATTCGAATAAACGTTCCGCTTTGAAAAACGCCCTGGTGCGTTTCTTTTTTCCTCGAATAAACGTCCCCTAAATGACTGTAAGCAAAACTAATGAAAGCACTACGACTCTCAACACATTCTATTAAGTAATGTTCTACTCCAGTAGATTTACATTTATTCTAACCTGGTTAGGATCAGTACCGGTAAGTCTTTATGATCATGCGATAACACATTTTGGCAGTAATTATGTGTTGTAGTTTCACATTTACAGTAAATGGGGCTTTATTTGAGTATTTATTATACGTATCCATTTTACACAAAAAAATAAACACCTCCATTGAATAAACGCCTCCCTCGAACAAAGGCCCTCTCAAAAACCCTTCTCAACAGTAAACGCCCCGGAGTGTTTATTCAAAATAAATACGATAAATGAAATTCATTACCCATTAAAAAAAAAAGCCCAAATTAACTTATTATATCAAAATAAACAAAATACCTTACATTAAATACAACATTACAAACAGTATAAAACAATTTAATTAATTGCACATTGTAACACCTTGTTTCCAAGGTCAAGCAGCTGGAGGAATACATGATCAATCGCAAACTACCAAAGGATTTAAGAGACAAGATAACTGACTATTATGAGTACCGTTATCATGGTAAAATGTTCGATGAAGAAGTTATATTCAGTGAAGTTTCACGAGTTTTAAAAGAGGTAAAATATATTTATTATTATCGGTATCTTGGCTATTCAC